GAACAAATGTGCCAACAGGACAATTGTGAATCGTCTCTTATAAAACAAGGGCAGGCTCATTCTTCATTTTAGATGATGTGCAAGACAGCACACAGAATAGGATGATACCCATGGAGAACCACTGAGTGGTGGCGGTGGTAGTAATGGTGGTGATGGTGGTGGTAATGGTGGTGATGGTGGTGGTGGTAATGGTGGTGATGGTTGTTGGTGGTGGGGAGCTGTTACAGCAATCTCGTACCTGCAAATGATGAGCACCTGGGCACTATTTGCAGACGACCTAAGACTGGCTTCAGAAGAAACAGATTGGTGATTAAGTAAAACCCTGTCGGCGGAAAATCTGCTCTGGGCATGCTCAGGTCTGTACGTACCTCTTCTCCTGTCAAATGAGCTGTAACAACTTACCATCAACACAGTGAGCCTTCTTTAATGGTCTGCCATTGAGTTTGCTGGGTAGCTTTGAAATGCACTATAGTTCCATAACAATTTAAATTATTACCCTGACACTGCTTTTCTTACTTCCATGAATAAAGCAAGGGTGTGTTCTTTATTCAAAAATAACTACTTGCCACAAGAATTGCTCTCTGGTGCCCTACTTTCCAAAATAAAAATATTAAGGGGCCAGAAACATGGGTCCGTGTAAAGGAGACTTAGTTCTTACTAAGAATAAAGTCACTGAACATGGATTTTTGTACTGCTTCAAGTCTCAAAAGAGAACATTACAACCCCAAAGGACCGCATCACTTGTCTCTTTTAAGAGTTAGCTGAATTGCATTGTGCTGAAAGTGACAGTCTAGCTATGTTCTGTTTGTTAATGTAGCACAACTGTAACTGGCTGTAAGAACTTATCACAAATAAAACTATTTTTGTGCCATTTCTATTTTTCACTTAAACGGCACCAGCTCTTCAAGACTCGGGACCTGTCAAATGTTCTGTTGCCAAGACTCTGCCTGTCAGAAAGGTCAGCATCCAGTACCTTCCAGTTGGGTCCCAAAGGGCCTCTCCTGGTCTTGACTGACTGGAATAATGCTGGGTCTTCATCAGCTTTGTAGTCCTGCAAAAGCAAAACAAAGTCAGAGGTGGAAAAGAAAACCAGAGAAAATTCTTCAACCACACCAGAGCAGCTCTTTGCAGCTCCTGGAATACACAAGAGAAACTGATTATGTTTACCATGTTCTTGCATAAAAGTACGAAAATGCTTCTATTGGACACCAAAGCTTTCAGTTTGGTTCTCTCTGCTTTAACCTATGATTTTAGGCAAAATGACACTATAAGAAGTAATGAAGTCTTGACGAACAGCCTACCATGACTGGTTATTGGAAAGCATGCTCTAAGATCAAATCTTCCAACATTTTCCAACACGTTCAGTGTTTTGATACACATATCGTCATATTCAAAGAATAAAATGTACTCATCTCGGTTCTGGCAATACCCATAGATTCCAGTGGACTACGAACACCCGCTCAAGGGCAACTACCATGACTGGGAGCACCAGCAAGAACCACCCTTTCTGATGCATCCCCAGATTCTCCCACGGTTGGATCTGCAGCGTCTGCCTCCATTTCCTGACCAGCCTCTCCAAACCCTCCTCCAGAGAGCCACGGGGTACACAAACGGGGGCTTCCACGTGGAAGAGCAGCAGGTGCACTCATCACACCCACACCATTCGGTTCGGGCTAGCAAAACCATTCAGCCTTCACTGTCAAAGGAGGTGAGGAAGGGTCTCTAACACTGTCACACGCCTGTCTCCGTTACGCCATGCTACTAGGGAATGACCCTCAAGTTCAGGTGTGATTCAGAAGTCTAGAGTGCGCTCACTCTCTGCTTCCCTTAACAGTAAGTACCTCTTCCTGGCAGGATGGAGGAAACAGAACACATGAAACTCCCTTTGTAATCACACACAGGCATACATACATACGCAAGTTCTATAGATAGAAATTTTTAAAAATTATCTTTGAAGAGCTAAAGTCCAGATTTAAGAAAATAAGAAACACCTTGTAATGGTAACAGTGGACAGAGGTCAGATGGTCAGTTTAAGACACTGACTTCAGAGAGAATTTGTGAACCAGGGGCCCTTCTCCATTGTCATGGAGGACCACACAGTTTGAGGAAAACTCACAGACAAGTCAGATATGAGGAGCTCGGGTGGTGTAGTGCCTAAGGCATCTGACTACTAACCAGAAGGCTGGCGGGGCATTCTACTTCGTAGGGATACCGTCTCAGAAACCCAAGGAGGAGTCGCTAAGAGTCAGATCTGACTCGATGGCACTGAGTTTGTTTTTGGTTTAACACACTAGTAATTGCTAGTAATGCCTAAGGAGAGAGTTATAAATAAATCAGGTAAAGAAGGGAAAATGTGAGGTTCAGGTAGAAAACAAAATGTCAAAGAAAGGCAATTTGGTAAACATGTGGCCCTGAATTCGAAGGTATCTCAATGTCACCTAAGAGGCTAGGAAAGGCCCACCGAGGGGCTAAAATCTTTACACAAGCAAACTCAGCTGACCATCAGGACTTACTGCTTTAAAAGACACAGTCTGGTGTAGCCACAGGCACTGGATCAGTTGCCATCATCCAGCGACAAAGAACTAGGATGAACCGACTGCAAGAAGTCAGACAATTGGAGCTACCTCATGCATCTGGGCACACCGGCAGAAAGTTCAATTACTGTCAGCTAATAGGAATTCTTAAATTCCAATTTAGAGGCACAACCTAAAGATTAACAACTTTACCTCTGACTGAGAAAAGAATCAATCGCACAGGTGGTGTGAAGACCAGGATTCCCAGTGAGAAGTCCGCTCCTCTACTAACATAAACAAACATATTAATGCCATAAAAGTATCTTCCTCTTGGCCCGAGGCTTAGGATTCAAATGCCAAAATGAGCACACTTTTCTCTAAAACTGAATATACTTTTTACATCGCATCAAATAATCACTTTCTGTGTCAGTTTCCTCACTCAGAATCTATTTACTGAACCGCTACCGCACAGAGGTTGAGACGTGGTCTGAGGAGTCTGAGGCGGGAAAAAACAACACACGGTCTGGCTCCTAAAAAGTCTTGTTAGGAGAGAAGCAAACAAAAGGAAGGTGCCTAAACCCACAGAGTACGAGTTAACTGCCAGCAGAGGATGGAGGGAATTTGGGTCAGAATCAAAGCCAAGAGCATTCACTAGGGCGGTCCATTTGACGACAAAAATTAGTCTTTTTTTTTTTCCTTTTTAGTACTAACCGGGGTGTAACCTCACTATGGGCATGACTCTCCACCGCTCTGCACAAAATCTGAGACATTAAGGAGACTGGCTTATGGTGAACAGTAAATACCACGTTTCCTGGATGTACGAGGCATCGGTGATAGGATGCTTCGTTATTTTAATGTACTCTTAAGAAGGAAAACACCCTGCCAATTAAACTAGGACATGTCATAGCTGGAAGACAAATCCTGGTTTTGGATACAGTAAAATATGAAAAAAACTGAGGGACGTTTTAGAATGGACAAAGCAGAGCCAGCACAACTACCTCTGTGGATTCTCAACTTTCCCACTCCAAGAGAGTCAGAAAGAACAAACAAAATCCAGAAAACAAAGTGTGTATAAATATCACTGGGGCTAACAAAATAAAACGGAAGACCTCTAGTAATATTAGGACATGTACCAAAAAAAAAAAAAACCCAACTAATTTAAGAGAAGGAGATTTAAGCTTTGGCCACCATAAAGGACCCTCATGGGGGCAGTAATGAGGTAAGGGGTAACTGGCCCCAGGAGCTCAGCCTGAGAATGATTAGGCCGCCAGTAAGGGTGCAAATGGGAGCACAGGCATTAGGTGGACTCCCTCCACTATACTCCTTCCCAGCCCTGGCTTCATTATCCGGCCACCAACTTCAGGGGCTGTCAATACCCACAATGCCTGGGTGGTGCCAACAGTCAATGACTAGTAATTAAAAAAAAATAAAAAAAGATAAATTAACTGAAGAAAACAGAACAACACTTCAAAATTTCTCTGCTCTCCACCTAATATTCTGGTCTGTAATGTATACTCCTGGGCCCTTCATTATTTGGGTTACAGCTCTCTGAGGTACTTTTCTGAACTATGGATTCACAGAATCATGGCAGCAAAGTGGACCTTAAAAACCACACAAGCTCCTCATTTTACAGGTGAGGAAACCACTGTCCACCTCCCCTAGGACTTCAACACAAGCTTCTTAGTACCTCCGTCCTGGGCTCAACGCAGTACATCACACAGGACGAAGGCAGAAGGGTGGCCACAAGTGCCTGGGTGAATAAAACACATTTTAAAACACCAAGAAGCAGCAGCACCAGACACCCCAAAGTGGCTTTCCCTATAAGGCATGAGTGTGACTATGTATCACATGCGCACACACACACACCTTCTCTATAGTTTTCTCTTGAATACAAAGCAGCAGTCAAGAATCACAGTGAAGACGTAATAAAACCCAATTATTAACAACAGCACCTTAACCTTGACGGGTGAGGATAATTCATCTCGTCAAAACCTAGCGATTTTTGTGCTTTTAAAAATATTAGTTTGAATACCTAAATGTTTATCAATTGAATTTAAGTAGCAAGATTTTAAAAAGCATGAAGCAGGTGCAGTTCCAACGACCTCCATTTTGTATCTCGACAACAAACAGTTAATGCTTTGTACAGTATCGTTTTTGCTACAATTTTATTGTTGGGTGTCTGGTTTGGTCTTTTTGTATTTGAAAACTGGCCGATTTATATCGTATCACAACGAACAAATATATTCCTTCATGTATGACAGTTTCAGCATTCAGAATGCAACCTCAGCTACCAATTATAGCTGCAAATGAGCAATAGTGTGGAATGAGACAGCCTGCTGGCTTTGTTAGTATTCTGTCTCCTCTGGGATCCCATGGGGAAAGGGGAGGCTCTGATGAAGAGAAGCCCTTGGCTCATGGTTTATTGTGCTTGCCACCAGCTGCAGACTTCTCATCTCATTAGTTCTTTCAGAATACTGTGGGTGAAGACAGCTGCAGCCTACTTGATTCTTCAGCTCCTGGGTATTCTGAAGGCTGAATTTGCTATGCACTTTCTGTAATCCTTGGGAAAAAAAAGAAAGCAAATTCACTAGGCCAAGGAAATGTATTTTTAAAATGAGTTTTACAATCATGTTTAAAAGTAGAAAAACCTTATTGCTAAGGTGCACTGTGTCTAAATTTCTTTATGATCAAATTTTAATTATGTGTGTAATGCCCAGAGGCCTGGCTAGGAAAAGGGCTTAGTAAAACCATCATTATCGAGTTAGGTGTAATATCCCTAGACATTACTTGCTCCACCAATACTAGTGCCTCAACAACAGGAAAACAGAATGGTATCAGCATAAGGTAGATCTGGATGGCCGTTAATACAACTCTATTTAATTGAAAACTCTTATTTAAGTGAGAAAGAAAGCAAGGGGCAGTCAAGACATCCTTTGGAGAGCAAATAAAATATAATATGTCAAATAAACGGGCTACTGAGCCTCCACTCTGAAGCCACAGAGTACATTCATTAAAGTCTTATAAATAACTGTTTTCTGTCACTGGAATACAAAAGTTGTGTGTACATCTGTTATTCACTACAGCTCTCGATGGAAATTCTCACCCGAAACCAGATTCATTTTGAAGACAAAGAATATTAGTCGTAAGGATTCTTTTTTAGCACAGTGCCTGCCCCCCATATTTCAACTACCAAATCTGTGCTGAGCCTAACCTAAATGTCTTTGAGTCCAGATTTAACTCATGATTGTGAATGGGAAGTAAGGAGGCAGTGGGGGCAAGGGTTTCTTGGCAGCTAATGGGAAAATCAAGGTGAGCGCCAGCCCCCAGAAAGTGCTTCAAGAACTCTGAGGGGTTGAACCTAGGATTAAGAGTGCCCAAACCACAAACATATGCAACTCTCTGACATTTTCTTATGAAGTATCAGGAGCTGCAGTGGTGCAGTGGTTAGGTGCTTGGCTGCCAACGCAAAGGAGGTTCAGTTTGAACCCACCCGCTGCTCTACAGGAGAAAGATGAGGCAGCCTGCTTCCGTAAAGATT